GCATCGTATAACATATCATAGCGCAGCATAGCGTTGCATATCGTACCATCGCATAGCATAGCATAGCGCTGCATAGGATGGCATGGCATAGCATAGCATAGCAAATAATGCTGATTTCGTAGGGGCTCCAGCTTCTAGACAAGGTCGCACTGGGGTAACTGTTGACATCCGGCGACGCAAAACACACAACAGACAAACTTAAGAGAAGCGTCTCCGTTTAGCTCTCTGGCTCCGTGAGAACCTAGGGCCCGACCTCGCCTGTAACCAGGTCGCGCTTGGGATGACGGCCAGGGGCTTTGCGATTCCAGGAGCGCATCGTACCCTGAGCCCCAGTTCGGGGGATTGGGCGGCACTCCTGGCGGAGACCTCGCACTTGACCTCCGCTGGTGTAATCTTTGCAGCGGAGGCATACAAAAATGAAAGGAGTGGTCGCTGGCGTCCAGAAACAACATAGAGTGGCCAAACTCCAAAAACTTGGGGGCGTCGAGCCCTCGGATCCCGACCCCAGGACCACCGCGGCAAATGCCAGGAGACGGGCGGAGGGCGGCCCTGGACCCACGAACAAAAAAAACGTTCACACTGCCAGAACCTACCCTGCCAGCTCCACACGTGACCGTCAGATGCAGGCCTTGCTGGAACAGGTTGCTTGGCATAAACTGCACTCGAGAGATCGAGCCGCGGCCACAACGGCAACAACTTTCCCGCCAGCTTGCAGGCAAGCTTGGACATACGCAACTGGCGGGCAAATTTCTCGCATTCTTGAGGCGGCGGGGCAGGGGGTCTGGATGCGGCACTCTTGGCCAGGGCATCTGCAGCGTCGTTACCTAGCTTGTAACACTACAAATCTTCTGACATATCAGGGCTCTCAGGAGCATGCCCTTTGATTTTCGTAACCGAATCTAAGCCCGTCGGCTGACAGGTCAGAAAGCTGCCGCTGCACGGTCTTTTGTAAGACAACTGTTCCTTCTGAGGCATACTCAACTGACGGGCCACATGGAAACAATCCGAGAATCCCTTGGAATCTGGAATCGCAAATTGCTCCGCAGCACGGATGGCCAAAAACTCGACAGCCTGGGGCGTCTGTTGGCTCGGGGCCCAGACTGGGGCCGCAACGTGGCCGCAAACATTTCGATCGGAGTCGTAGCATATAAAGACCTCATCCCCCTTGGCAGTTCGGGAATCACATGCCCGTGACAGCAACCGCCATCATGGAAATCACCCTGAGCCCTGAACCCGTCGATGCCCACCATATTGAAGCCGCCCTCGGTCAGCGGCCTGGGGGGAGTGTCGCCTGGACGTTCAAAGTTGCCACGGGTGAACAAGAGGCGCTCGACTGGGTCCGGGAAATCGATGTCGGACAAGGTCGGGCGGTTATCTCTTATCTTCGCAAGAATATCCTCGCGCTCCTCATCACAGGATGGGCAGACATAGAGTCTATCCATCGGGGTGTCTGGGGCAGCTCTGCGCAGCACGCGCAGTTGATCTTCCTGTTAGTGGCCTCTCTCCTCGGTAACTTGTTTGGTCCATATGCCCCCGCAGCACATGGCCTTGATGCAGCTTTTTTCTCAGAGGGGTGAAGCTGGGCGAATTTAGCTGAGCCCGGGCCTGGTCGCAGCACAAGCGCTGCACCTCTGGCAGCAAGGTCGCCGCGCTGGACCTCTCCAGCGCCCTCAGAACGGCGGCGTGCAGGGCTCACTTGATGAAGGCTGGGCTGCAGAGAGTCATCTGGGCAACGAATCCGAAATCGTCTATCAGCTCGGCGAAGAAACGCATGCACCACTCTTTCCTCTGGAGGGAAAGCTTCATGGCAGACAGTGGACCCTGCGCCCATCTCCAGGAACCTGCATCAGGATTGCCTTCGGAAGCCCCCTGCCGACCTTCTCGGGGCCCCTGGAAAGACAAGCAGAAAAGGCGCGAACGAATCACGACTGCCCGGACTTCCTTGGAATAGCGAACGTTTGGACTGACAGCGGCATACCATGCAGGATCCCGCTCCAGGATGAGGAGGGGGCGAGGGATCTCTGGCCTGCGCCTGGCTGGCAGGTCGCACCAGAAGATCTCCTTGTCACCTCGAGCTAGTGATGCGAAAAAACTCGCACTTCACTGCCGCAGACCAGCCCAGGTAACGGCCCGAAGAAAAATCCTCTTCGCGAAGCGGCCCAGGACCTTTTTGTCTCCTCTCAGACGGCGGATCTTCTTCTTCGGCGTTCTGGGGCGGACCTGGAACTCTTTGGATCTCCCACCAGATATAGCGGCTCGGCCACAGGTATGGTCGATGCCTGGGTTCGTAGCAGACCTGCACGCCCCGCCTGCTAGCCCCCCCCCCCAGCTCGGCTCGGGCGCTCGCGGCAAGTCGAGGGTGCAACCGGGGATGTCTTCCCCAAAGGGACCTGCGCGCGCAAGTTATGCAGAATGATAAGACGAATGGCGTACGAGTCCTCGACTATGCCCCTATATGCAAGCGATTCACTGCCCGTAGCGCTGAGCCCGTAGTCATCGA